TTCTTCCTCAACTTGCACCATTCGTGGTTGTCTAGGCCTCCCACTGTGCCCACCTCGAAATTCCTCCAAATGGCCCGTATCCCTGACTCTCTGGACCAGGTACACAAATCCGCGGGGCCTTGGATGATGTCGTCTAGGGAAACGATCTGCATACACTCGCGAAGCCTCTGTAACATTTTGAAGACATTCGCCATAAATTAACAACATATCGACTTGTTCATTATTGGTGTATGAGTGTGCCATTATTACTTTTTTTTTTAAACGCATTCGATTATACGGGTTCGTTTACCTCTACACCCGTGACCGTAACCGTCGGTTGAAGGTTGCATACTGACCTGACACACTGACCCCGACCCAGTTCTGTCATCGGGTTTAGCCAGTGACCTTGTACCACTCGGTGATGTCGCGGCTACAGGATATTTTTGATGTTGCAGAGCCCTTTATCTCGGTTCCCTTAAGACATTGGTGTATATGGTACTAGGAAAAATTGCTTATGTTTTCAAGATATACACGTCGTGTAAAGGAAAACCCCAACTTTGCGGACACCCTGTATATGTATTTGAATATACGAGAATAAGTGATTTTTCCAGCTTTGGGGTTTAACAAAAGAGTTAGCCAGCTAAATTTTTTACATCTCTTGATGAGGAGAGGCTTGTCATATGCCCTCAAGGATATAACACCGCTGCAAAAGCTCTTATTACAATTTTTTCTGAAACAGGAATGATTTTTGTCTAGTCACCTTGGTCTATTGTTTATTAGGCCAAGAGATCGCTGTTAACATATTGAGAGACTATAAGCGTCACAAACTGATATCTAAAAATTCGATACTTCGTTTTTAGGGGACTTGAAGTATTTAGAACTGCACAACAGTCTGAATGTTGGAAAAGCTGCATTTTTCTGCGACTGTAGACCAGCATGTGTTCATTTGAAATATGAAGCAGATCATTCGCAATCAAATTGGCATTACGACCGGTTGTACTTTGCAAAACAGAGAAAAGAGATGAACACGTCGTGAGTATAGACTTCAGTACGATCATTGACTAACGTATTTTACCTGAAGATATCCAAGCATATATTGTATTAAAGAGCTTAAAAAGGAGTATGAAAGGTGCTTATTATAAATCCTCAAAAATCAGTATTTATGAATTTCGTGATCAGAGGAAGCAACCGTGCTGAGTCTTCCCAGTGAACTCGATGACGTCATTATTCTGTCACTTTTGGTCTGAAACGTCATTGACTAAAAAATGATTTATTTATTGACGCCATCTTTATGACGACAACAAGACGTACTTTAAAAGCCTGCCATTTTGACGTCTTTTCTAGAACAGTAAGTACTGAAAAAACAACACTACATTGAAATTATAGACTTTCAATAAACATTAAGGTAAGCTAAATATCCAAATTCTAACAACTATATTATTATTTATAAAAAAATGTCAGGAATTCCTCGTCCGACATTATCATGTCAATATGACTTTTCTAATAATATTATTCCATGTCAGATATAAAAATATTATTCCCGTAAATAAAAAATGTATTAGAACCTCTCCTGTATAACAATAAATAAGTTTTATTAGAAGATTTGTAATCAAACGCAGTAAGAATTCAAATTTTGGAACGGCTTATCATGCATCCGATCATCAGCGAAGAAGCACGGTTGTCCTTGGCGATGAGCTCAACCGATGTTCAAGCTCCATGCGTGTTCACCGCTTGCCAATGGGTTATCCATTTTGTTTTATAAATCATTGGGTTTGATTGACATCATGATGGCTTCTTCGTATTTAAGGTACAATTGTGGTACAATTTAGTAGGGACGACAATATTTCCACATAGTCAATGAGGCTTGAGCGGCATCCAGGAGGGTATTTTGGCCTTCTGTCAGAAAGCAAACCGATTTTAATAAACTGCTACAAACAAATTCTGAAGCATCGGAGAACTGGAACGTGTTTGAGATCAAATGATGTTTTTTAGTTCTTTATTAACCATTTGAATACACTTTGTACAAACGCTCCTGAAAAATTGTGGAGGTGATAAAGACGTCTCAGAACGAGAGAGTTCAACAGTAGTAGGTGAGCCAAATATGACTTTCGGCACCGGAACTAACTGCTTGTGTAGCACCGTTGTCACATCCTCCATTTTTCAGGAGCAATTGGATAATAATAATAATAATAATAATAATAATAATAATAATAATGTTTATTGTCACAAAATACAAGTAAATATCAAATATTGTGCACAATAAACATAAAGCACCCAAAAAAAGTTTGCACTTGTGTTTGGGTTTGTACAAAATAAAAACTAATAGTACAGTCAGTGTATGAAAAAAAAAACCGGTTAATACTGTATAATTTGGTGAATTATTATGGTAATGTCAGGAAAAATATCCAGACAATTAGAACTGAAGTAAAAGTATGGATGTTAGTGTAAGTAAAATATTATTGATTTTGATAATGATTTTTCAGATCTACAATTTCGTGGATGGAGTACCTTGGTTGTTGTAAAATCCATTTTTTTAGTTGTTTTTTAAATGATTTATTTGATTTAATTACTTTTAATGACTCTGGTATGAAGTTATAGAATTTTGGTCCCAAGAAAAACAGAGATCGTTGTGTAATGGTTTTTGATGTTTGTGGAATACACATTGAATTTTGATTGAATCTTGTTGAGTAGTTATGAATGGTACGATTAAAGTATTTTGAATATTTGAAATAATGTATTAGACCACAATAAAAATAAATTTGTCTGCAATCTAATAGCTGAGCCTCCACATATAGAAAATCACTTGAATAAGTAATCTCCCTATGGAGGATCAATTTTAGAATTAATTTTTGGATTACCTCAACCTTTTTGTAATTATTATTCATAACTCCCCCCCAAGCCAAAATTCTGTAAAGTAATAGAGGATAAACAAGAGCATAATATAGATTATATAGATATTTCTTATCTAGAATATCTCTGAAGAACCTGAATTTTGGAATAATACACCTCAGTCTCTTCACAAGGTACTCTGTATGGGTATCCCATTTTAAGTGTTTGTCCAAAATCACGCCTAAGTATTTTATTTTATCGGCTGACTGAATCTCTTTGAGACCACTGCTTGTATGAATTTCAAGTTTTTTAAATTGTGGTGAGAGCCTGTCGTTACAAGAAAATGTTATATAGTGTGTTTTGTTGTAATTAATTGTCAAAGTTCTTTCCGAAAAGAAATTTATAAATGTTTTGAAATCATGTTCGATTGTGGTTTTTAGTGTATGCCACTGGTTGCTTTCATAGAGAATAGCTGTATCATCCGCAAACCCGATAACTTTACCTGTACTATTTATTTTGAACAAATCGTTGATAAATAGATTAAATAAAATGGGTCCTAATACTGAGCCTTGAGGTACACCGTGTGATATAATATGGGGTTCACTGAATGTGTTATTAATTTTGACGCACTGTGTTCGATTTGACAAATAATTTTCTATAAGTTTGTATGTTATTCCCCGGAAACCTAAGTTTTCTAAAGTTGTTAAAAGCGATTCATGAGTAATAGAGTCGAATGCCTTTGCCAAGTCAACAAAAACACAAGCAGTTGGTTTGCCAATATCGAGATTCGTGTATATTTTATTTGTTAATTTTACAATAGCATCTTGAGCAGATTTGCCTTCTTGAAAACCATATTGCTATTAAGTTATATATTTTTGCAAATTCGGTGAATCGTTTTTTTAACACTTTTTCAAATATTTTAGAAAAATTTGTTAAGATGGAAATTCGTCGATAGTTGATGGGTTTTTCTCTTTTTCCAGATTTAAATAATGGTTTTACCATAGCGTGTTTTAAACATGAAGGGAATATTCCTTTATTCATACAAGAATTTATCAAATATGATAGTATGCCGCAGATGTTGCAATTTATTCTCTTGAGAGTATAGGCTGTTATATTATCTAGACCTGGAGATTTTCTTAATTTCAATTCATTGATTATTGTCTTTATTTCATGCATATCGGTCGGTTCCAGATATAATGAGTTATATAATCTGGTCTTACTATAATTTAATTTCTCCGCGTTTTTTATGCTTTCTGACAACCTTTTCCCGATTTTTGAAAAATATTCACAAAATTCATTTGCTACATCTACATCATTACTCACTAGTTCACCATTTTCTTTTTTAATTGTACTAATTTTGTTGTTTTGTTTTTTGCCTTGTATTTTATTGATAAATTGCCACATTTTGGACGAACAATTTTGTAGATTATCAAACTCGTCTTCGAGATATTTAATTTTAGCCTCTTTAATTATTTTTGTCAGTCTGTTTCGATATGATTTAAATTCATTCAAAAGTTTAACATCATAAGGGTATTTTTTGGTTTCCTTATATAATTCTATTTTTTTGTTGATGGAGGTAATAATCCCTTTTGATATCCATGCTTGTCTTTTTATTTGTGTTCGTGGAATCTTTACTGTTTTGGTGCATTCAGCAATATGGCCTTCAATGCTAGATATAAAAAGGACAAATGCATTTTCAATATTAGGTTCGTTATATACTACAATCCAATTTTCATTGAGTAAGTTGTTATTTAGTTTTTCATAATCAATGTAAATTTTTGTATTATTCACTGTCTTTTCAATTTTGGTTGATGTACTTTCAAGATCGATTTTGAGCAAAGTAGGAAAATGATCAGAAATTTTGTATTTTAGAATTGCTGAATATATTTTGTCAAGTTCTAAACGTGAATTTATAAACATATGATCTATATTATTTTTGCGAGCGACTGTAAGTCATATAGACGTCAGATAGACGATATATCCACGTCATACAGACATCATATCGACTTTTTATTTAGTTTTTTATACGACATACCATGAGGTCTTATAATGACGTCAATTGGGTGTGACATTAGACCATCATTTATACGTCATAGAGGTAGGAGTACGTCAGTAGTGCCCTGAAAATGCCACATTATGACGTCTTATGTTCACAACTCAAAATTAATGGAACATTAAGACCACTAATATACCTGTAGAGTCTGGATTTTCGAATAGAAAGTCGTCAGGGTGACTATTATTGGCCCGTATGAGGTAATCCTGAATAATGTGATCAATGATCTGGTTCTGACCTCTGACCGCAGTCACACTGATAAGATGGCTGCTTACCCCATTTATGCAGGGAGACCTTTCAAGTTTGAAAAATTCAAAATTCTCATAAAAAAAATGATTGGGGTTAGTCTTCCACCGCCCCAAGGTCAAATCATTGTCTTATAATAAAATGGTGGTGGGGAGGTGGATGATGAACTTAAATCAGTTCATATTATAAGAAAAAACTTTTCATCTTACTATATAAGAACTATTTTTCGGTCAGGCATCTTAAAGATAGAAAAACGTAAGATACAACATGATTTTTGAAAAAATCATTCAGGGATTCTTTTCCCAATATCAAGTGTGTAAATCAAATTGAAATTAAAATAAATGAACTATTAATTTTAGTAAACTTGGCAACACTTAGTGGTAACGGTAGAAACCTCCATAGCGCCCAATTCTCCCCACCATTAAAATAAATGAACTATTAATTTTAGTAAACTTGGCAACACTTAATGGTAACGGTAGAAACCTCCATAGCGCCCAATTATCCCCACCATTAAAATAAATGAACTATTAATTTTAGTAAACTTGGCAACACTTAATGGTAACGGTAGAAACCTCCATAGCGCCCAATTCTCCCCACCATATCGTAGCACCACTGCAGTTGGTGTCTGCCTCTTTCATGCTAATGAACTCCCTCTAAGGCATTTAATCCAATACCGAGATGGCAAAACATCTGGACCTTGAGCATTTAACGGTCCTATCGGGAAGATGATAGTGCGTTGTAAGAATCTGCCCTTTGTCAAATTCAGTCGAATTGTTGGCATCAGAAATACCTTTACGATATTTGTCAAGTCGTTGTAAGTAGAACTTGGATGAAAAATATGTCAAAGCGTGATCCTGGAAAGCTTAATCACTCCAGATTGCTCACCGCAGGTAATCCTCAGGCTTTATGTAGCTACCAAAGGCCCGTCGGATAGTTTGGTAACATTATCGACATTTGTAATAAAAGTTTATTCGCCAATGTGGTTTAACATCAAGCAGAATTCTTCTTGCATTTGCGGATCAAAGCATATTTTTGATACCATCAAACTGAGTCGATATTTACCAAAGGACTAAAGAAATATAGTTTATGATGCCATTCAAAAAAATGGTCACTTTGGTCATCTCGAAAACGTTCTGATAGCTGTGCTTTGGGATGAAAAATAGTATATTAGAAAACCTGCTTATCATAGAATATTAAAAGCACCAAATAATATAAGTTATGATAAAAACGTTCGCAATTTTATTATTCCTAAGCTTAACTTTGATTGTAGTTATTGGGTTATTAAATTGGCAGACTATTCAATACAACGAACCTCCCATTACGAGAGGTTTATCTGAAGAGGGTTTAGCGCAAGTTTTAGAAGATCCTAATGCTTCTCCGATATCATATTGTAGCGATTTGCTTTGTCATAGCCAAGCAGTTGAAAGAGCGATAAAATTAGTCACGCAAACATCCACTTCGGTTTGTGGTCCAAAGAGAAGGGATGGGATTATTCGAAATACTTTGGACTCCAGAGAAAAAATGACAAAGTTTGAAAGCAGGAAAAATTTTAATATTGAATAATCTCTTAACTTAATTTGTATAACACTTTTTTTCTAAGAAATCCTGTTTTCAACCCTTATAGTGATAAGGCTTGGTGAAGGAGATGTTTGGAGGATATATACATTGGTCAGTTGAGAAGGAGAAGTAGCTGACGTAACTAAGACTAGTTTAAAAAATATCAAAAAAAAAACTGAAAAAATTCGATTCATTTTCTAATTTTAGCACACAACTTTCCTGTATACGGGGAATTTTAATGTTAAACATATTTTTTCCACACCCATAGCGACGCACCACCCTAATGCGCGTCTAGCATGACGAGTAGGAACTCTGTTTAAAGTGGACCATGTTCTGCGTGTTCAAAACTAGATGGTTTGTGGATAATGTAAGGTATGATGTTGTTTTACCTTTCAGTCCATTCTTGAGACGTTAATAGCGCTGAATGCCTCTTCTGCATTGGTTCTTGCTGTTCTCGTTGGCGATTTTCGAGAGCGAGGTCGATTATTATTTGCACCTTTACAAAGTGACCTAATATGAACTTAGCTCTAGGCTATTGTAATTTATTGCTTATTTTTGAGATTTCTTGGTTTGGTCTGCCTTTTGGCATATCGAAAGTTTTGGGTTAACTTTTTGGAAGCACAATCTCATGGACAGCATATTAAGATAGCCCCACGAGTATATGTAATAGTTTGGGCGCCAGATTAATATCTACAGTATTTCCTATTAATTAGTTCATGATCATTAGGTAAGTCGTCACTATTTTCATGAGCTTGTCGATATTACTCGTATATCCATAGTCGATAGTCTCTAAAACGTTAACTAATATTTTGCGTGGATACCACTACCAACAGCATCGTGTTCTTGAGGTGTCGAAGTACCATTCATCGCGCTTAAGACTCACCAGCAATGTAAATGCAACACTTATATCCGAAGATTGCTTGAAATAGTCTACGTCGACTGCTGAAACAAATGAATCTTATCGCTTGGAAGTCAGATATAATTATCAACTTCATTAACTTACGGGTATATGTGTTTAATCTGATTTGTTCTTTGGAAAATGTTGCTGAAGTAGCTGAAAAAACAGTAAGCTACTCCACTCAACATCTGTGGACCAACCATGGACAGCTATTTCCTCCTTTGTGGCAACTCATCAGCGCGGTCTAGGTTTGATCTCAGATAGGACAACGAGGGAATGCTGAGATAGTCTCTTTTATACAGGGTGAAAGATCTATCAAAATAAGTAAGCACAACTTTGTATTATATCATGGCCCTTCCTACAAGCTGTTATATTTAAATATTTCTTTCAGTATACCATTTCTCCGAGTTTTTGGTCCGAGACCTAAAATCGGCACTTTCACGATTTTTTCAAATTGGTCAAACCTTTTCTAACTATTTCTCAGAAACTAATCAAATCAATGATTTGGCCTCATGATAACTATATATACTATATTTTGACAAAAATCGATTTGAACCCATTTTTGTGCGAAGTCCTTTAGAAATCTACATTGTAGAGTTACAGTGTTTGGTTCTGCTATTGTCTCATAGATGTATCTAGAATCTTCAATCACTTTTGGCCTTTCTAATACCTATTTTGACTGTGCGGAATCAACGCCTAAAAAGACCAAATTGAAACGTTAGATAGATCAAAAAGTCGAATATCCTTGCGTTATCTAAGAGACAGTAGCAAAAGCAAGCACCAATTCAAAAGTTGTAGGTATAATGTTTTTTTATGCGTGTAAGGTACGCATCCGTAACCCCGCACTGTAGTTATAGAGCTACTTGCAAAAAACAGATAATGAGTGTAGTCTTGGTAGATATTTCATGAACTGTGATACCGTGAAAAAGCGTGACGTGATCCAGACATCGGGAACTAGTTGCAAACGTGATATGTCGCTTACCTCCAGTATACAGCCACTGATTTAATTACGTGTAACCGTGTAAGGGTTTCCCTTCTCTTCTCTTTTTATTTGTTTCCTTTCCTCTCACCGTTATAGAGGACAGGAAGAGACGTTATTTATGTAATAGGGAATACGTTAGTGGAATTATTTTTGATGGATATCAAAACATTGGTATTTTCAGGCTCGTCCACGCAAAGCTGTCAATTGTCTTCAAATACGATTCTTTTCTGACATCTGAAAGGAACGAGCTGTATGGGCCTACCGATTTCTTGGCAAACTTCGGAGGATTGCTGGGCCTGTTCACGGGATTTTCACTATTATCTCTGATAGAAATTATATACTTCTTAACTATCCGGCTATGGTGTAATGTGAGACTGTACAATTTTTGGGCAGGCAATGTGTAGCGAAAGTATTTTTAATCGTCGTAAAGTCATTGATAGTCTTAGGAGTTAGTTTTAGGAGTAATCATGTTATGTTTTATTATTGCAATATATGAAATGTTATAATATATGTTACCATTTTTTTCAACCGTGGTAGGTGGCGCAACGGTCAGAGAGTGGCAAAATTATGGAAAATATGAGAGCCCTGCGCACCCGCAAGAAGAGGGTTCTAATATAATGTCTGAATAAGCAAGAACATTTATCCGGCATTCAATTGAATAAAGTGGGGTAATGATGTCGAATATTACCACTAAAAAATCCAAAAATATCGAGAGATCTTGTTTGAATTCCGGGGCTGCCGAAACATAAGAACTGGTATCAGTTTTATAATCTATGCGCTAGGTTTAGCAAAAAAAAAACGAAGTTCTACTTGAACTGGAAATACTTTTTCTGAAAATATTCTTGAATGTTTAACTTTTTTTGTTTGTTTAAAATTTATTTAGCATAATTGCTACAATTACATTCTTTTAAAAAACTACATACAACATTTTCACTGTCCATGAAATATTGCCTTAATTTTCTTTAAATTACTAGTAGACATTATATCATTATTTAGTTTATTAATTTGCTAGTTATATTACTATTGCAATTTTATAAATGGAAATCTATATTTCCTCTCATATACAATGATTATACGATTCTACGTGGTGTTCTAAATGTTGTGGAAAAAGATGATTTTTTATTTTAACTATAAATATAAGAACGAAATATGCTATATTTTTTTTAAATTTAACCGCTGCAGTTCTTTAAACATATACTATATTCTGGTGTACTTACTTTTATTCAATATCATTCTCATAGCTTTTTTTTGCAGGACTTATAATTTTGATAATACAGCTTTATGGGTAGTGAGCAAGATAGTTGAACAACAATATAGTAAATGCGGGAGAATAATTGGATTATAAAATATTTTTTTGGACTATGACTATGAAAAGCCCTATAACCCCGATAGCATGAAATATTCATTAAATATCTATTTAATATTTAATAGTATTTTTATCTTACTTAAATATTTGTTTTCTTAAACAAATATATAATAAATATTTGTAATATTTTTATTAAATAATTATTCAATATCTTTTAAATATTTCAAATACAATATTTTTTATAATATTGATAAATATTTACTTTTAAATCAATGTAAAATATTAAATCTCCAATATTTAGAAAATATTCCTTAAATATTTTCGGCTACGGCGCATGTGCGCCTGAACTCGAGCGACCAATAGGATAATAGCAAGTCGGCGTGAGATGACCCGTTTGCCGGCAGCCATTTTACATGTCACTTTCACTATGATAGCGTGCTTCCTGTGTATCTCCAAGTGGTTCATTATTTGAGTGTTTATTTGTGGAAGAGGGATAAGGATAAGTTTTTCGATAATTACATAGCTTAATTTATCTGACTTGTAAACATTATTGTGCCAGCTGAGTATAAAGGTATTCATAAGTCCATAAATAACTAGCCTTGAAGTGTACTACTAAAAAAAGTCACATTTCAACAAAATCAATAAGTGTTAGTCAAAAGATCAAGTTGTACCCATGGACATTTTTCATCAAGATATCTAAAATCACATACTAAATTTTCTTAAAAATTAACCAAATCTCGAAGTATCATAGGCATAACATCTGGGGTCCTTTTAGGTGCATTATAGCGCTGCTTTTCAGTGACCCAGTTGAGCTACTCGGAGTAACTCACCATGCTCAGCACCAATAAATACACTGGAAAGCAGCTTATGTATTCAATAATACTTCATAATTTGTAAGTTTGTTTTTTTTCAGAGAAGTGGACTTGCAAGATGAAGAAGAGGCTTAGAATGTATTTTTGATAATATTTTTCTAGCCAATTAAACCATTATATCTAGAATGAATTTTCTTTATAAACCCAATTTTATATAAGCATTCCTACAGGTTTTGCTAAAATAACCAATGAAGAATTTTCTACCTACACTGAAAATATGTATCAGATCAATGCTTGAAAATCCATACATATTTACAGAAAATATTAGATATTTCATCAAAATATAAAATTGATATTTAAAAATCTTTCCTCAAATATTTTCTAAATATTTGGAAAAAATATCGCAAAAATATATGAATTACATATACTATAAACATCTATAATGAATATTTTATAAATATATAACAAATATATTTATTAAATATCAAAAAATCTGTCGCTACAAATCTTTATCAAAAATTTTTTAAAAATATGTAATAAATATTTAATGCTATCGGTGAAACGTAATTCGTCTTTAGGCAATTTTTGAAATAATGTATTTATTCATAGTGATCCTCAAGCTTTACTCTACTATCAATAATTATATATACCTAAATATTCAATTGACCCAACTGTTATAGTATTTTCATTAGCATTTGTTTTAAATGCATTCAATTTCAGTTTATTTACATTTAACCAATTTATGATTTTTGCCAAGTCAATATCTCGCATTGGAGTGCCTATAACTATTCGTGATTTGTTTGTCTGGGCGGTCCGTAGGACCGTGGCCCATTAGTCACTGTCTAATGTACGTTAGTCGAGTCTGTCAGGCCTGGTTGCCCAGAAACCAGACAATGTCAAGGAAAATGAGAAAGGGAAAGAGAAGAAAAAAGGAGAAGATCAAAGAAGAACAGAAGTGTTTAGTTTAAGGGGAAACACCTAGGCTTTTTGACTTGTACACGGATTAATTTTTAGGCGAACTAAACAAATTTTGATTCGGTTTTGTTAGAATGTAAGTTTAAAGTTACTAAGAGTTCAGGCTAATTTTTTATTACGGTGCAAGCCGTGGCCTTGAACGTTTACCAGCTTGCTCCACCGTGTAGTCTAGTTAGTCACGCAACAGAGGGTTGCTGTGCGATTCCGCTTGACTATAACGTCGCTGCGCGTGAAGCTTGACATAATCCCTCAAGTAAGGAATGACAAGGTCTCTGTGTAGTGTCTCGTTTGAGACATACCATGGAGCGTTGCAAATTGTTCGCAAAGTTCTGCTTTGCAGCACTTGAAGACTTTGCATGTGTGTCTTGGCAAGAAAACACCAAGCCGCACATGCATAAGTAATGGCTGGTCTAATAAGCATCTAATATAGGCGAACTTTGTTTATCAAACTAAATTTGGAGGATCT